GTGGAAGATGTGTTACTGCCATTTGAGGATCTGGCCATGTAAGCTCAGTTGTCAGTGTTAGCTGCCCTTACTGTAGGGACTGAGAAGGGTAAGTAGTTGTCATTTTAATGCTCAGTAAGAACAAAGTCTCCACAAGGCAGAATTATATCTAGAAAAACAAAAAGAAATAAATTGATTTTATACCCACAGAAGCAAATTGCTGAAACAAGAGGTGTTGAAATGCAGCTGGTTTAGCACCTCAGTCCCACTTGAGTGTTTTGGTTTGTATCTTTAGCGGGTAAAGTCTGTTCTCTTGTTCTGACCTGAACAAAAGTGGATTTTCCTTCATTTCACATAAACCAAGAGAAATTCCAGTGCTTTCATACCAAACATTGAAATTGTCAGCCTCAGTGGAGGAGTTTTTGAGTATGGAAAGTATGATGGTGCCATTACTTAACTAGCATCCATTAACTGTGAGCTTTGGGTCTTTGGACTGAAGAATTCTGGTAAGTAGCTCATAGCTAGAAATGCTTAAATTTGAGAATTAAAATTCAGTCTTTCCCAATTCCAAATGGTATCGCTCTTTCTACCACTCACGTGGTACATTTTTATTCCAGCAGATGTTTCGTATGTGACTTTGTCTAGGCTGTATTAAAATCAGTGCAGACATGATCTGTCTTACCTTCCTTCATCTCTATCCATATGTTAAATTGCTGCTTCCTGGCTGTGCTGAGAATGCCTTTGCTGGCAATAAAATACCTGCCAGGATAGTCAGTTGTTGTGTCAAGAGACTAAAGTGTACTGTGATTTAGCTGAACTGCAAACAGTTGCAAATGCCTCTTATTACAGACAGTGCTTCTGGAATATTAATCTTTTTAAACTATATTATTTAAATATATCTGTCTATGTATGTTTACCTATTTAGAGAGCTGTAACTGAAGAAAAATGGGGATGCAATGCAAGAAGCACTGAACTCTTTGACTTTGGACCAAGTCGTTGAGTTTTGAGTGCCTTTACTTTTAGGGAGGCCTTGGATCATTACCAAAATCAAAATGGCTTATGTTCTCTTCCCTCTAGCAATCATAGTAACATAGCAGCTCGTCTTGCAGGCTTGGAAAAGATTCTGACTTGAAGATAACTCCAAAAGATAACTTCCAAAAGAGCAGCTTCACTTACCTGGCTGCTGGAAAATTTCTACAGCCAGGCTTCATAAACTGAGAATACCGATATGAGAGGTTGTCTCTGCTTGCAGTTTCTTACTCGTGGTCTCCTGAGTACACTTTAGATACAAAGGGATGAATGGTGGTGTCTTTGCAGAAGAGGAAGAAGTAGAACTTTCCATGTTTATGAAGAGTTAGATGATGAACACAGCCAAGAGCGATGGATCTGAGGTATTTGGATAATGAGTGGGGGTGGGAAAAGAAGGAGTTACACTTGCCTGGTCCTGGCTTGGGTCACTTCCATGGGACTGGAATCCTCTCATGGAGCTGGGGGAAGGAGTCAAGTGAAGGAAGAAATAACAGATTTTTCAGTCTCAGTACCTAGACTTACAGCCTTTAAATACCATGTTTTCTGTACATTTTGTGGCCTTTAATTTCCTCATGAATTAAATGTATTTTAAAAGATCTGAGTTTCTGCTCCTAGTAGAAGGACAAGATCTGGGTTGGGCATCCTAATTTTTGACCATTAATTACCTCGGTGTGTATGTTTTAAATTTGTAGTGAAACGTACTTGAAATTACTGATTGAATCATGCCCTGTAAGAGCCAAAAATAGAATGGTCTGATTTCTGGGAAGTGGCAGAGTAAATAAAGAGGAATAAAACCTGTCACCCCTGCTGAGTTCTGTGTAAATTGGTCTGAAACAAATCAGGATCCTGTGTGGTATTATGATTAACACTGGTTTTTGGTGTAGGTGTAACCATGAATTCAGATTTGTGGGGAAAGAATAAAAGAACCGACTAATGAACAAGTCCTAACAGCAGTTGGCTATTTTTGGATAGTGATGCTCTGTTTTTCTTCATATAATCTTTAGAAAGTCTGCTTCTTTTATAGACACCAGGCTACTCAATGGATCTGAGTCGAATTGGTCACTATCTATATTACATTCCAATGTGTAATCTCCTAAAGTTCATAAAAAAGTTGCTTTTTTTTTGGTTTTAGGGTTGTACAGAAAAGAGAGGAAGAAGTTTGGAAAGAAGAAACAGTAGATTTTGGATTCACTGCTCTAGAACAGGGATGCTTGGGCTTGCTCCCTTGTCTCACACACATCCCCTGGATGATGGGAGCAGCCCTCTTGTATCCTGAATGGCTGCTGCTTGCATCCTGTCAGATGTGCTTTTTTCTGGCAGCATTATTTGCCGATATTTAAATATTATTGCTTTGGTCCAGTGTGCCTGATGAGTTCAAAAATTCCTGCTCTGTCTCCTTCCAGCCTTGTCTTAAACATTGCTGGAAGCTGTCGTCTTTTGTTCCTGTTCCTGTGAAACCTGACCCTGTGGTAAATCAAAACCCAGGGGTCTGCTCCATCAGTCACTTGGGCTGGAGAAACGAAGGCCTTGGTTCTGACGTGGCTGGCTGCTGTTCCAGGCTTTTCTGCGCTCCTGCAGGAAGCGCTGCTCAGACAATCTGCAGTTCCCGTTTCCTGACAGGAGCCGCTGCACGGCTCGCAGATTTCTGCCCTTCTGACCGCAGGGCCTCACGTTTTGGAGCTGTTTTCCTGCCTGCTCATTTGTAACCTCTGCATATTTGAGTATTGAAATGCAGACCAGAGAGAAGTTTCATCGAATCATAGAATACCAGGTTGGAAGGGACCACAAGGATCATCCAGTCCAACCTCTCAAGGTACGAGTGTAGTTTCCTCATGTAGCACTTACTCTGTGGGTTAAATCAGTTCAGGAGAAGGAGGGAGGTTTGAGCTCATACTTCCCATGGCAGTTCCTAAACTCCTGCCAAATACTGACAAATTACAGGGTCCCAGATCAGGAGTTGGGTGTCCCAGAGCACTTCTCTGATTGTCTGGGCCCATTTGAAGTATGTTCATTAAAGGGAGGCAAAGTTGAATCATTCTGAAACTGTCTACTCAGCTTTTTCTTCAAATCTCAATACTAAACTTTCCAAGGAGTATTTTGAAGGTGTGTATGGGATAGTAGCACAGCCTGTCTTTGTAAATCGCCCAGTGTGTCACTTACATGGGGAAAACAGAAGCCATAGAAATGTGAATAAAAGCTGGGTGAGCTTCTCATTGCTTTGAGAGCTGGCTGCTAAAAACTCGCCTTTTATAAACACAGGGCCTGCAAAATACTCCTTCAAGTAACTCCAGGCTTAAACCAAGTCAGCTTTGTCATAAAATAGAACAAAGAGAATCTTCTTTTCCTCCTTTAATTATTCATAAGCCATTTGCTCCAGATTAGTGCAGTGAGATGTGATTGACCCTGAGAGGTAATCATCCTGAGGTGCAGGTGGAAAATGGAAAGTTTATTTGGTGTAATGGATTTTTAAATGGCAAAATAAGGGGGGGGAAAGTCTGTTTAAAAGGATGAACTATTCAAAAGGGTGAAATGCTGAGTTCTGGTGAAAATCGTGTATAAAGTACAGCCAGTGCAGCTCCATCTGGTGGTGTAAAGCACAACGCAGATGGGTGGTCAGCATAGGCAAATGGTATTTGACAAAGAAGGCTGAATTTGGCTGCAATATGTGTTCCTAGTCCGTGTAACCTCTCCTCTGTATATCTTCAGAGTCCACTTAGCAGCATAGGGAAATGGTATTTGACAAAGAAGGCTGTGCTGAATTTGGCTGCAATATGTGTTCCTAGTCCGTGTAACCTCTCCTCTGTATATCTTCAGAGTCCACTTAGAATGTTCTGATTTTTCCATGGGCTTACAAAGAAAACAAGCTTTTCCTAGTGATTACTGTTATAGGGATTTTCTTTTCTAGGTTTTTCAATGTAAAAACTTCGGATGACAGAGGTGGAGAGGTTAAAATCAGCCTACGTTAACTGGAACGAGGTGTCTTAGACAATTTTAAATCCAGCTCTTACGTGGAAAATAAGGGATGGGGCTCATGAAGAGCCTCAGTAATTCCCTGCACTTCTCTCCCCTCTACCCCCTGTAATTTTTCTCAACTCCCTCGTGACATTTTTGACACGCATTGTCATAGCTCCAATCCCAAGCACTTGCTCTTTTCAGCTTTCCTCCTCTGCTTTAAGTAGGAATTGGGATCTGGGGTTTCTAACAAAGGTATTTTGATTGACAAGGTGTTCACGCGGAGATCAGACTCGTACATCCACTTCTATCCAGCAGTCAAGTACCATTTCCAAGTGGAAACGAGTATTTTTACGGGATGCATGACTCTTGTATCTGATAGAACCATCACATAAATTCCAATTCCTTGTTT